GGACCGACAGTTCGAAGCAAAACCAGAGTAATCGGCAGAAACTCCTCGGCGGAGAAGAAGGAGACGAATCAGCCGATCTCAAATCTCAATCTACTTTCTCTATTGTTTGCTGGGATGTTCTCTTGATTCTCTCTTGTTGTTACTGCTGTTTCTGCTGCGGAGGTAAAATTCTTCTCGAAAAGTTTACACACGAACTTTATCTCGCTCTGAATTCCGATTCATTATACTTTTCGTCTTGTGAGCTTGATCGCTGGATTTCCTTGCGTTTTTTTTTTCGTAATACTCTGCTTCGTTGCTTGCTTAATCGGGTTTCAGATATCTTCTCGTCTTGTGAGCCTAACTGTTTGATTTCGTTTCATTTCGTCGTAATCAGATTTTACTCTCCCTTTTGATTTGCAGTGGGGTTTTTAATCCCGAAATATGCTCCATTTCTAGATTCTTTCGCTCCGTGCGCTTAACTGTTCGATTTCGCTGCGTTTCGCCAGAAATCTGCTGTTTCATTGCTAGCTTAATCAGCATTTGCTTCCCTTCTTGCATTCGGGGTGCGATTTGATTGTTGCCACATGATTTGAGCTCTGGGTTTGAACCAAACTGGTGATTACATCTGCTTAGCCGCAAGAGTTTGAATCGTAGGTTTTGTCCGATTCTGGTTCGCTGACAGCTTTGGGTATAAGTTTCGGTGACCTAAAGTTGAGAATCCATCTTACAAATGTTTGATTATTTTATGGAGGGTTTCCCCTGATTTCGGTGTTAATGCTCTCTGTTGCTTGAGCTGGTTTTTCTCAAGAGAATCACTATCAGCTCCAGAACTTCAATCATACCATGAAACAATCGTGGTTTCAACATCAATCCTAGATTGGGAAAGAATCACTGCATCGTGTTCGATTAGATTACGCATGATCTGTCGATAACTTGGAACATATGCTGCTTGAAATTTTGTTGATTTTAATTGTTCTTTTCAAGTATGATACAATAGCTTCCAATGCCATCTCGTTCAATGTTCAATGAGATTTACATCATTGTCGACCACATGGAAGAACCTTCTGCTGCTCCTTGAATCTTGGTTATTCCAGTCTCATTTTGCTCCCTTTGTTTCTCGAAATCGGTAATTTATCTATGAGTCTGATGACCTAATGGAGCAAGCTTGTTCACGTTTTCAGGTTGCATTGATCATGAAGAAGATTGATGGGGCCCAAACAATCCATGGTAATACTCTTACAGTTTTTCGACACCCTCTGTCTATGAATGGGATCATCTGTATCTATGCGTTGTATCTTTCGTACAAGTGAATCTATTACAGGAAATCAAGATAGTTTCATTTAAAAATCATATCCTGTTTTCACTGTCACTGAAGGTTCTGAAAACCCAGATTGTGCCAATCAGTTGTTGAAGAAGAAGAAGAAGACCCGCCGGTTGACAAAAGACAAGGTTGTGTAAAGAAAAAGATAAAAGTTGTCACACCCTTTCATCCTCTAATTAATATGATTTGATTTAGTTAATTTGATTTTTACATTAAAATAAGTGTAAAAGCTTTTATACATAGAAATCATAATCGTTTAATCCATTAGTTATGGTCTTTGATATATTTTTTGAGATTTTGAAGATTTCTGTTGCATATACAAGTTTTATTTTTTTTTCACCTAGAAATAAAATAGAAAACTTTTAAACTCTTACATCTTCCGTATGACTAACATTTCCCATATGACTAAGAGAGAATATGATACCATAACTTTTAGATTAATTACTAAATTTAAAATAAGGACTTCAACAAATTTTCAAATTAATACTGAATTTGTAACAAATTTTTATATAAAAACTAAACTATCGAACTTTTATTAAATTACATTCAAAGTAGTCTAGTATTAAGAGGTTAACACAATAGAGACATCAACTAGTGTTAAAAATAATATATATATATATACGCACACAAATACGTATATACGTACGCGTTTGATTATACGCCACGTGACACGTTTTAATTGGACAAAGGCAAATTCACCTTTATCTCTCTCAGCCTCGCGGTGAGGCTCGGTTCTTGAGCCATTCCACCACATCCCCAAAAACCAAATCGACGTTCTCCTCCGATTCTCCGACAAGTAAATGCCACATCCCAGGGTAGATCGTCACCGTCTTATCCTCGCTCTTCGCTCTCCGGTGAAGCTCCTCCACGCGCCTCACCTCGCATACGGCGTCGTCTCCGCCGTGAACGATCATCATCGGGATCTCCACCTCCTCGAACCTCCCCTTCAGATCTTCGCACACGCGCAGGAGCTCGTACGCCGTGCCGGCGCGTGGCATACTCACCGTCCTCCTCGGGTTTGCGAGCGCGAGCTTCGTCTTCCATGGCTCCTTGAAGCATATGTCGATCAGGCGTCGGCGAGTGGGAACCACGCGCCAGGTAGGGATGAAATTGACGATCGCTGAGAGAACTGTCTCTAACGGCCATGGAGGTTTGAACCTGTCGCTGATCTCACACATTGCTCCACTGAGGACGAGACCGTCCCAGCGAGATTTCTCTTTGATCGCGATGTAGAGCGCGATTGCACCGCCGAGGGACTCTCCGTAGAGGAAGCACGGCAGGTCCGGCGGCGCGTGGAGTTCACGGAAGCTCTGGAAGAAGGAGATGCAGTCGTCGACGACGGGGTTGATGTCGGGGACGTAACCGGTGAGGCCGTCGGAGAAGCCATGGCCCTGGAGGTCGATTGCGACGGTGATGAAGCCAGATTCGGCGAAGAGGATGGATGTGAGCTCCACGAACCAGCTGGACTCGAAGGTGAAGCCATGGAGGACGGCGACAAGGCCGATTGGGCGGGAAGGAGAGCGAGGAGTCCACCACTGGGTGAAAAGCTTGAGACCGCGAGAGTTGGTGATGAAGTCGGAGGAGTGGCTGACGCCATGGCGGTCGTAGAATTCTTCGGCGGAGAGATCGCCGAAGGGGCTCTTCTCGTTCGCCTCCGACACCGGATGTAACCCCATTTCTTTCCTCTTTTTTTTTTCAACACTCAATCAATGTTTTTTTTTGTGTGTAACCAACTCTTCGGAACAAGTTGCAGAATGTACTAAAAGGCGACCATGTAGTTTGTGTTTTATATTAAAATTCTCTTTTAAAACTATTTTTTCAAAATACCAAAAGTATTTTTTGTTTTGGCTGAAGAAACATAAGACTACGGAGTCTTGTGTATTTTTTTAAATATACCATCACAAGAATTGTAAAACAATACTAATTTATACCAATTCGAATCTAATAAATAGATTTATATATATATATATATATATATACAATAATCCTTAATAGTACAAGAACTGGTTACGTCGGACCCACCCAAAGATACAGATGTTTGGGTTCTTGTCATGTTATACTGACCTGAACACATGGGCGAATGCACAAGTAATAAATGGCCCATCGAAATTTTAAAATATCTAGATTTTTAACTGATTTTTTTTTTTTGTATTCTGATAAATAAAATAAACCATTAAAAACCGAAAAATGCAGCTTTTAGCTCCACCCCAAATTACACATAAATGTGAAAATTCGTTGAGTAATCTATTCAATAATATGCATCTAAACACTGTCAGGGAAAATTACACATAAATATGTGAATTATGAGTACTCTAGTCAAACTAAAATGTTATTAGGCAAAATCCTACATAACATCATGACTTTTTTTTTTTTACTTTGACATCTGTAAAAAAAACTTTGAATATCCTTAAAAAATAATTTAAAAAATTGTAATCCATTTCCAAATTAAACATAAATGTATGATATCCTACCAAATTTTATCAACTGCTAACTAAAACATAAATGTCGGAGACAAAAAAAAACGAAAACATAAATGCCATTGATTTCCAAATTAAATGGTAACCGCCAGAAACTGTTGGCACGAAGTCTAACGTATCAAATTGGAATTTTGACAAGTTTACCATGTCAATGTCACCCCCAAAAAAAAAAATATTTAAAAAACAAATTTAAAGAAAAACATATGTATGCATATACACACACGTATACACAAAATCATACATACATACATGCATAAACGCCTACATGCATACATATTTGTATTTTTATATATACATGTCCAAAATTAAAAGAAACAAATTTTACAAAGACACGCACATATATATACATATATACACAAAATCAAATGCATGTATACAGAATCACATACATAATGTATGCATATATTCGTACAAATATATATTTGTATATATACCTAGACGCGTGCATATTATATACACACATATACTGATACATATCATATATACACCATCATTATGAACACACGCGACGCTCGCGCGCACATATATATATAATTATAGTCATATGTATACTAAACATGTGAATATATAATATGTATGTATATGATTATTTAATACGAGTGTATGCATAATGTATATATTTATATATACGTATGTGAATTTGTATATATGCGCGCTTTTGTATATATGCATAGACGAAGGTACATGTAACTATATGTAAAATTATGCACCAAATTATTAAATGTCCCTTATAAAATAAATTTGCCCATAATAAAATTAATTTTACCCCCAATTACATATATTTTTTTTAAAAATCCGCATGTATATATATTTCTTTAAAATTTTGGTTTTTGTTATTCTTTTTGAATTTTACGACACGTGACGTTGTGATTTTTAGCTCTGAAATTACTGTTTTAATTTTACACACAGGATAAAACAGGGGCCTCTTCTCAATAAATAGAAAATATGGGGCTAATACAGATATTAGAACAAATACAGGTACTTAGATGATATTACCCAAAATATTCGTTCTGGCTAAAATAATACAGCGTTTCGACAACAGCCCGCATTGTCGCTGAAATCTCGAAGACCCTGACCACTAATCGGATCCACGAGGTAAGACCTTCCTCCTCCGATTTCTCTGTCTTTGATCTAAGATCTCTGTTGCTTTGACCAGTGAAATCGAGATCTCTTTCTTTTACTAATGCCAAACTGAAGATCTGGGTGTTCTGATCGAATTTGGAATATAGATCTTACATGTTTTAGTCGATGGATTTCTGTTTGAATGTTTCGATCATTGATTTTTTCCCTTAGATTTTGGGTGATTGTGCCGTAGTGAAACCAGTTT